TGTTTATTCCATCTCTATGCTTTGGGTAGAAGAGCACTTTGGAGGCCAATCCCAGGTTGTCATCTAAGACCTGGGGACACGTTTATTGAACTTCTATTTTGAGCCAGTCTCTTCTCCTCTACCTCTTCGCTTGTTGGGCAAAATTGTGAGCTCTCACCTCTGAGGTTGTTATGAGGATCAGCAGTGTCTGAGACATGAAGGGCCCCAATCTGGTGTCATTTTCTTTCTTTTTTAAAATTTTTTTATTGATTTCAGAGAGAAAGGGAGAGAGGAAGATAGAAACATCAAGGATGAGAGAGAATCATTGATCGGGTGCCTCCTGCAATCCACACACTGGGGATGGAGTCCACAAGCCAGGCATGTGACCTTGACCGGGAATCAAAGCATGACCTCTTGGTTAGTAGGTCAATGCTCAACCACTGAGACACGCTGGATGTAAAATCTGGTGTCATTTTCTGACCTGATGAAGGCATGTGTATGAGAGAAGTGTGGAAGGAAGGGCTGTTTGGAAGTCACGTGTGTGTCCCCCAAGCCAACAAGGTAAATCAGAAGCTGTAGTGCATCCTTGGTTGAATGGCAGATGAGCGCAGACAAAAGGATTCAGGGGTGGTGGGCCTCATCATGGATCCTAGACTCAGCCCCAGTCAGGAGTGAAGGTGAAAATTTCATCAGTGGGTTGGTCGGTAAGCACTAAAGCACTTAGGGCACCTCTTCCCCAGTGGGAGCCCCGCTTCCATAAAACTCCATGGACACCAGTGGGGCAACCTCCAAGGTATAAGGGAGCTGTACGGAACCATGCGTGTTTCACTTGCATTTATTTTTATTGAAGCAACAATCACATAACATACAATTGAGCCTTTTAAAACATGAAAATCACAAGAATACAATAAATAAACATTGTCTCAATGACAATGTCTATCTAGTTTCAAGAATTTGTAAACTCCCCATCCCCACACACACAAAAAACAACAACACCAAGCAGTCCGTCTCCCATCTGCCCTGCTGGTCAGCCCTGACAAACCAATCTAACTTCTATTTCTATGGATTTGGACATTTCGAATAAAGGGAATCACACAAAACCTGACTCCATTTTGTGTCCGGTTTCTGTCACTCAGCTGCATTATTATGACATTTTCCCAATATGTACCAGGTACCTGTCCTTTGTTCTTTATGGTTTAAAAAAATCCACCGAATGTGATAATACCTCATTTTGTTGGGATGGATGTGACCCAGCATGAAGATATATAGATGTGAATCTGAACCAGCCATGTGGATGGACCCTCACATCACAGGGTG